GCCCCCCCCCCCAGTGGCACAGCGGTATATCTTCGGAATTACAACGCTAGAAACCGGGTTTCGATACCCGTAGTAGTGAGAGTACAGATAGCCAATTGTTTAGCTTTGTGCTTAATTACAAAAACAAACAAACAATCTAAGGAAAAACTTGTACAGGAGGGATAATCCAAATCCTGAATATTTTATTCGAATGTTGTGATCAGTGTTAAACACTTCAAAAAGTAACGTGTAGTTCATAGAATAATTTATAGAAAACCCTACCGCCTCATAGCGAATTTGTACCTGTTTAAACAATATGATAATTGCTCTACTTATGCAAACAGATTATAATTTTTTTTTCTTATTTAAATTGCTAAACTGTTATCATCAAAACACGTAAGTAGTCGTTTATTGCTGTTTAGTACAAAGCTACAAAATAGGCAACCTGCGCTCCATACACTCTGGGGGGTCGAACCCTGTATTTTTTAGCACTGTACGTCCTACGGATTCTCCTACAAATTTATTGATCCTATACAATAAATAGAAGCAATAAACAATTTAGTTTTGGTTTTTGAATTTCGCGCAAAGCTACAGGAGGGCTATATGCGCTAGTCGTCACTAATTTAGCAGTGTAAGACTAGAGGGAAGACAGTTAGTCATCACCACCCATCGCCAACTCTTGGGCTCCTCTTTTACCAACGAATAGTGGGATTGACCGTCACTTTATAACGCCCCCATGGCTGAAAGGGCGAGCATGTTTGGTGTGACGGGGATTCGAACCCGCGACCTCACCACCTGGCCATGCCGGGCCATCAATTTAGTAATTTATATATATCTGTGGAGCATTTGTTACTTGTTTTATTACATATTTTAATATAAAATACAAAAGTATCGGGTTAATAGTGATTTGCGAAAAACGTTGCCGAATAATGTTTAAGAATAAATTAATATTATTTATCACGTATAGTTGGTAACGCGTAGCATCAATATTATAAATGCAGTTTTTTTTATACCTTAATTGACACTGTGTGATATGATATGCTGTCTAGATGCATTAAGTTATTATTTTGTTTAATGTATCTTTTTAACTAAAGAAAATTATATAGATTTCAAACTTGTTTGTTATGTAGCGCCATCTAGTGTAAAGTGATATTTGAGATAGAAAAATAAAATGTTAGTATATAATTATGACAAGGGTTTGGTAAACAATTATAAAATCATTTATACTAGCTTAAGTAATTAGCATGAATTAGGCTTATTTTCATCAAGAAATAATGGTATCTAGCAGTAAATAATAACCAAAGCTGCAAAGCAACGTCGACAAATCAACATAATTTATTAACTTAGTGGTCAGGGGCGTTTCTCGCGATTTGAGTTAAAAATTAGTAATTACTTATTAGGCTAAAGAAAAAGTTCTCGCACATCGTACTTAAATTGAAAGTCTGAATTGGCGATCTAGAATTAATTGAAATGTTTTTTTAAATTTCGTAGAAAATATAAAATAATCATTCATTACCAAATATTTATTTTTATATGTATCACGTTAACAGTTAAGCTATATATTCTATTGGTATTTATTAATGTTTAAAATATAAATATAAGTTAGCCAATCAGCTACAAGTTGAATAAAAGTTTTTAGCTTTTATTATTGGAAGAAAAGTAACTCACGTTCATACGCAAGTACATTATATCACACAATCTTGAAGGTAGAAAGCTTCTCATTCCTCCCAGTTGGTGGAGAATAGGGTTTATAGTTTTCGACGAGTTAATAGTCTGCTTAATAAGCTCATATTATGCAGCATGTCAAAAATAAAATCGTATATCTGTGATATAAATGTATTCTGAATTTCCCTCTTTTTTGTATATTTTACCAAAGTTAATTGTTGTGCTGACGACTGTGCTCCACGTTTTGTCATCAACCAAATATTTGTACATCGAAAGTTCACTTAAAAGCTTCCCGTCTATGTATTTAAATAAGTATAAACATAACATCAACCCTAATTAGGCAACATATTAACGCTTCTGGCCCGCGATGAAAATAAACTATCATAACCATACTTACGTGTTTGTAGTTACAAAAACACAGAGCAAAGGGTAAATTTACACCAACTGCAGGGCAACTGTAAAATATTAATTAATGTTCTAGAAAGAAAATTCTTGGGAAACAGTACCTAAAAGGCCTCAAGAATACCACCATGTGTCCACACAGCAAACAAGAATCTATTATGTATCATATTTGTTTTGTCGAACTAAGAGATAAATTGAGAACCTACCTCAATCTTGCGGTCCAAAAATAAAATAATAATATACTGCAAACACTTAATACACGAAACTGGCCAAGTAAGATTTCCTCAATGAAGGCAGTTTTGAGCTGATAAAATGTTTTTGCTTTGCATTCAAACTAGAGGGCAGCACATACATAGCTAGTGTGTATGACACTGATTTCTCTGTTCCGTGAGTATTTCTACCACTTACAAAAGAAAAAAAAAAGGAAGAAAGAAATGGCATCACAGTAGTCCCAACCAATCACATTTTTGCAATGACAACTTCCTGTTATGTAGGAACTTGTATGCCCGTGTAGCATGATATTATTACGATACAACGTCTTTACATTCGTAACTGGCGGAGAAATTGACTTTGTTAATGTGTGTAATACTCATAAAGGTAAAAATATGTATATATTTTTGTTATATTTTACCCTCATGCTAGCAATAGCTCAATTTAATATTGTCTTGCCAGCGGAGACTCAAGAAAACAACGAACTGGAAATGGGCGTCATTAAGAAACCAGAGAAATGCGACAGATCAAGTAGAACTGGCGATATTCTATCTGTGCATTACCGGGGTTCATTAGATGATGGTACAGAGTTTGATTCAAGGTTTGGAACCAGTTGTTGTGTATTACAGCGCTAAAAGATAGAAAACTGGTGTACAAATAATATAAACAATTTTTTGTAACTTACATTTTGTTAATGCATGAAATTTAGGTACTATAGATTTAATTTTAAGGAACAAAACTATACTTAAGATTTCGTCTAACTTCTTATTTATAGACGTATATGTACGTATGTATAAAGTTCCATGGTTCGCGACCCGTTAACGCCAAAATGCATATATTTCCTATCTAAAACCTTGCTTTCTTAAGGATTAAGATTTATTAAGAAAATTTATTTTCATATCGTGAAATAAATGCCACGCCCACCTCTCACAACGTCTTGTTCATAAATTGCCAATAGTTCTCTCTGACGTTTAATAATATATTTATAACTAATAGAAAGACAAAGTTTTAATCTATCAAATAAAGTATTATATTACATTGTTTTCAATGTAGAGAATTGTCTATTTCGCCTTTATTTCGAAGAATTTTCTCACCGGATTCACCTCGACTAACTTAGTTGAATGTTTAAGGTTCCTATCGCATAATTAGAAAGCCAAATAAATCATGATAGTTATTTTTATTCTTCTTTCATATGTACATTATTTAAATAAATAAAAAAAATACTTAGTATAATAGTATAAAAAAGGATACTTAAGTTTAATTTACAGCAAAAAAAGGGGGGAACATAGGTAAGACCTATATCTCTTGTTTTTCATGTGTATTCTTTATTTATTATTACGAATAGCTCGTACGTTCAATATGGTAACGTTCGCCGAGTGGCGGTAAAGTGTTATTTATTTTAAAGCAGCAAACATTTAAAGAGGTTTTGTTCTGTTATTTTTAGTATTTTTTGAGAATCCAGGAAGTTTGTCGAGAATGTGGGAGCCGGAAGAATATTTACGATTCCGGGAGGGTTGGCAAGCCTAATTTTAATTTTCTTGTATATATATATATTTACATTTTATAGCCCGTTTGTACAAATATTTTAAATGATATACGTTATGGCGGTACAGAGTTGTGTTTATGACTTTACTACATCTTTACTAACAAAGCTATTGTATGGACATGCGCGTAGTTAGGGGGAGATGATATTGTATAATCTAAGTTGCACCTCTTTATGTCTCAAACTTATTTATAGGTGTATAAAAAGCCTAAGACGCCATCAAAATCACAAAACTTTTCCAAAGGGAGTTTGCTCCAGAACCCCCCCCCCCCTCCTCCCAATATGTCTTTGCCACTTATAATACTTCTTTCATCCAAAACTAGCCCCACCACCTGTAGACTTCTGTCTACACTCACAACACCTTTATAGATTTCTGATAGGTATAGATAAAATTTTATATCTAAAAGAATTTTAAAGTATTATCAGTATTCACTTTTCCTGTGATAAAATATTATTATTAGTAGTAGTAATAATTAGTATTTGGTTGACATAATTTAAAGACCTGTGTTATTAAAAATGCTACTAACATTCGTTTATGGTGAAGACTTGTGTAGATATAGGTTTCTGGTAAGTTTAAAATCGTTACACACACCACATAAAGTTAGTTAAGTAGACAGACTTTTGGGAGTTAAATAGCCCCATAGTGTGCTGCTGAAGATCAAATATTTGTATTACACTTCATTAATAGGTATATTATATATATATATATATATATATATCATAATCAGCTTTGTGCTACAATTTATAAACCATAGCTTCAAATGTTTCTATGTAACAAATGTTAATTTTTGATCAGAGCAAGCTATGTACTTAGGGCAAAACGAAAAATCAGCCTTGTAATAAATGTAGCTACTTAAATAAATTTGTATCATATGGTAATTCAGAATTTTCTTTACATTTTTATCCTGCTTTGTGCATGTTTAGAGTTTATTATTAAAGTAGGTTATGGTGTGGTTGTTATTCACGTGTTATTAAGTTTTCAGATGGAAATATAAGTTATAAATATATAATAAAAACAGTTGTAGTAGCAATGCTACACTCTAATTTGTTCTGCAAGTTTTAAGGGAATTTTTTTCCCTTTATTAAATAACTCATTCAAAAACCATATTTTGAAAATTATTTCCGTTTAGTTAATTATGAAAGGCACACAACTATAAGTTCTTACATTCACTCACAATATAGTTTCTAAAAAAAAGCTGCCCTTCAATTTCTAAAAACATTTATATTTCAAGTTTAATAGTTAACCTGTATTGATTCGCTAAGGTATATGAGCAATGTCAAAATGGAAATGATAAAATTTCTCCATAAGTTATTCATATACTTTTGCTTATAGTGTCTTTTCCAATACAAGGTTCTGCTTTATAATTGATTTTTGTTTTTTGTATTAGTTACGACCAAAAAGAACCATTCCAATTTCAGCTAGGGACTGGTCAAGTAATCAAAGGTTGGGACCAAGGCCTGATAAGCATGTGTGTGGGAGAACAACGTCGACTGACTATACCTCCTCACTTTGGCTATGGTGACTCGGGAGCAGGTGTGTTATGGAGCAGATGGTTTATATCATTACTATCAATAATTTAGCAACTTTCACCAGCTGCTACTTGTGCTTAAGCAAATCAGGAGAACTGATAAACAAGTTTCTTAGTACTGAGTTTAACTGAAAAAGTGGTTTACGTGGTAACTTTTCAAATAAATAGCTATTTGTAAAACTAGATAAAATAAAATAATATTATATATCTAGTTACTGCAAAAAATATACATTCCTTGTTTTTTAGATTTAGCAGTGTTTATTGGTTGAACTAAGAAGTCAAAGTTAGGTGTGGTGGTATTAATAAACTAGTAACTATATACGTTAATATTCTGTGTCAGTAGATGGCCAAAGTAATACTAAAAGGTGTTTTTTCCTTCCTAGAGTCAAAGGCAAAACATAGATCATTAAGTTCGAACTATGAAAGAAAATTAAAATATAATTTGAAAGTTTTCTTCTTTTATTTTAAACATTTACAAAGTTAAAAAAAGTACTTCTGTAAGTGTTATTTGGAAGTTTATAGAACAGATTACTTAAATACAAAAAAATAGAACACATACTTTGATTGAATGACCAGCTAAAAAAAAACAATCATTATATAATATTTTAAACTACAGGTCTTGAAAACTGATTTTAATTTACTACTCAGGAGAGAGAATACCACCAAATGCAACATTGATATTTGAAGTAGAACTTTTGGAAATTAAGGATGGCCCACCACCAGTTAATGTGTTCAAAGAAATCGATGCTAATGCAGATAATCAGCTTTCTCGTGAAGAGGTAAGATAGAAGTTAGAAATTCTTAACTTTATGGAATTAAAAGTGCAATGTATAATTTATCAAGCTTTTAACATTTGAGTACTTCAAGTCTTTCGAACCAGGAAGTTGGATATAATTGTTCACTTTTATCCAGTACAGATTAAAACAAGTTTAAACTTATCAAAAGGTGTTCTTTTGTGATGTAAAAAAAATTATGCTTATTTGTTATAACACAGCTGTTTATGGTACTTAACATTTTCTACATAGTCTACATAGTTTGTGGATTTTATGTGAACAACCATGGAATTGTTTAAGATATATTTCATGAAAAATTGCTTCCAGATTTAATCTCATAGCACCTATTTTTTACAAATGTTCTGAGAGGCATGCCACAATCATTTGCATGCTGATTATGCTTAGCACAATATGTGTTGGCTTTTGATCTCACAAATTAGACCCCCCCCCCCCTTTAGAAAGGAAGAAGTATATATATAGTAAATTACTCAGTACTCTTTCTTTTTTATACTACAACAAACATACAAACTCCAGTTTTGGAGTATCACTGTATCCTATCGCTGCGACAGCAATATTTATTCCTTGTGTGGAACTTTATGTTTTTCTTGGTAGTTTTGATATGATGTTGTAGTTTTTGATACATAAATTCAAAGACACTAAAATAAGTTGATAATGATTTCATGGTAGAATAATTAGTTTTTTATTCAAAACTTATTTGAGATAAACCTTGGCACTTTTCTGAAACATGGATATTATCCTGGGATACACTATATATATATATATATACGTAGATAAGGTAAATATATCTATGCAAAGGTATAAATTCTATGGCACATTAATCCTCACGTGCAAACAGATATTATGTAATAGGCTCTACTGCACAATGCAGCAAAAGGGTTAAAATTCATTTACATAGTCTATGTTACGAAACTTCTATAAAAAAGTTTGAATGATAATTTATATTATTCCATATTCCACAAAAAATACATATAACACCCTTCTTGATGATATATATTTTTTCTTATATTTTGTATTTAAGAATTACGTAATTTCTGTTCAACTGGCCAAAATTTTAATATCCATTGAATAATAAATCTCAAAACACAGAAATGAAACTGACACACCACAACCTTTGAGATGAACAACTGTTTGAAAAAATAATTTGTTACGCAAATTTTAAAATTACCGGTGATGTCAATCTAAAAAAATGAAGCTATATTCAATGGTATTGAATTAAAAGTTTCTTGAATATCAATGTTTTGAAAAAACTTTAAATACTTTCTACAGTATTCATTCAAATTTTGAACAATGTACAAAGGTTCTCATGGTGTAAACGAAACACATTATTAAAAATTTGACTGGATGATAAAATATTCAATATATATAACTAAACTCAGCAAGTGAATTTACCTTGTAGTATAGATTGGTAACTTACAGTGTTGAAATTAATACTATCTTTAAGAGTATAATATGTACATTTTTTCACACACCCTTTTATATACGCAGAGCGTATATCAATATCTATATAATGATTTTAACCTTTCAAATATCGTGTGTTTGAAAACTTTATCCATAACAGATATTTATTGATATTTAAATATAAAAAAAAGAACAATAAATTATTTTTCAAAGATAATCTTTTGCTCTTTTTACATTTTCAAATGAATAAACATTAAAAAATGTTTTTCTAAGATCATTAAGTTTTGGCAGAGGAGAATATTTGACTTTTGGGGTTATAACCCATGAATGATTTAAGACTTCAAAATATAGAGGAAAGTAAATATATTGAAAACCAAAAAATCTTTTAATTTCCCCAGTTGAGCATTTGAAACTTTTAAATTTAAGCATGATAGCTTAAGAACCTAACAAAATTATACTTTTTTGGAAAGGAGGAATAAATTTTCCTTTAAAAAAAACAGACCTAATAAAATTCAAATGAGGAAAGATTTATATTGAATGGGAAATTGGAATTAAGAGAATTTATTTATGAGAGTAATCTAAACGATGAGTCTCTGCTCAAAAGTAAGTTGGTCTTTGAACTACTGAGAGGTATTAAACCTGAATTAAATTTTGTTTGTAAAAAAAATTAAAAAAATTACTCTCACTGGAGAGAAAGAGAATAGCCTGAGAGAAACTAAGGACAAATGATATAATTTTTTCAGAGTATGACAGAGAGAGTGTATTGGTTGTAATGGATGATTGTTATTAAAGAAGTATGATTTTATAACAACTTAATTGTGATACTTATGAGAAAATATCTAATAGTGACCATAATTTTCATATTCAGAATATAAATTAAAATTTGGTTGATATTTGAAACTTGTTTGCTGAGAAGAAGTGAAATACATGTTAGGTGAAAATCGCTGATTTTTTTTACCTAAATTTCAGAAAGTTAAAGAGCTTAAGGAGCAATTGCAAAGAAAAAAAGAACAGAATGTGTGGGTTATCAAATTACCTAGAAATCTCAGGCTGACTCATTATGGGAGGAAACAATAAAATAACTGAACCTATAAATAATTATTTACTCGGTATTACATTGAAACCCTTTGTCCCAAAAATGTGCAGTACTATCTATTATCATAATACTCAGTTTTTGTCTGTCCTGTTACGTCTCCGTTTGTTAATTGATTTTCCGTAACTTCGTTCCGACGAAACTTAAGCGACACAAGTCTTTACTTAATAAAACTGGTTTATTCTTTCCGAATATAACTTTACCGATACACTCAACTTCAACAATCGCGCTAAACAAACGCTATAACAACGAACGTCAATAATACTTCTGACTGCAGATCAATTACTCACTGTCTATACACACATTACATTCCCCTCTTTTATATACCAGCCTACCCTATATCTAGTAATTACTAGAGCATTCGCCAAAGTACAGGATAGTTCTAGAAACGTGGCGTCACAGTGGTCATGTGACTCGCTGACGCAACAATATTATTCTATGCCCTAAAGTTAGACCTTTTTAAAAACTTTGATAAGCTTTTAATACGTTGTTGTACAAAACGTTTACTAAATGAAATAAAGAGCGCGCGTGTATTCAGACAGTAAGGTGCGCGAGCATTTTTTAATATTATAAGTTTACTAGCAGAGACTCATTATTTCAACAGTATTTTTTTAAGTACTGGATTTCTATTATAATAAAGTAATTCTAACTGCAGACACCGAAATCAGTAACTCCACTTGTCTTAGGCCTAACATTAGGTACGGCTTATATTCGATAAAAAGATAAATTAACACTGTAACTTCTGTACTTTTTTGCCTTAGTTTAGTTAGGACTACACTTTACCGTACGTAATACGATCAGTAAATCAACTTATAATGTTATTCTACGAACTAACGTTAAACCTTTTTAATAATTTAGATAAGCTTTTAAAATGTTGTTGTACAAAATGTTTATCAAAGTATATTTACATCCGCCTTTTGTTTACTTTCGTCGAAATGAAATGCGCGCAATCGCGCATTTAGATAGTAAGGTGCGCTAGCATATTCAGGGCTGACAAAAACTGAGTGTCATAATAAATTTATTGATAATATTAAGTAAGGTAGAGTTTAGCCCTAACTAAATTAAAGCAAAAACGTGCACAAGCTGCAATGTTAATTTATCGAATATAGGCCGTACGTAATAAAGGCTTAATTAGTGTTAAGCCTAAGACAAGTGAAAATGCGCTAATTCATTTAGGCCTAATTACAAATGAATGTGAACATGTGGAGTAAGATTTCAGTTACTTACAAATGAAGAGATGCAGAGTCGTTTAGGCAGTATAAAACTTTGCAGACGACAGTTTTTTGCAACACAGTGAAACAGTAATTAATTTAGGCCTCATAACGAACAATTTTGCGTTGAAGCTATAGGTGCGTACTTCATACGTTTGTTAGTATTGTCAGGTAATGATAGGCTATTTTATTTTGCACATTAAATAATTTCTAAATATTTTTGATTTATCATTGATTCTTAAAATAGATCAAAATCCCCAATGGATTGTCAAGCTTTAAGGTTTACACATAGGCCTAAGGATCTAGGCTAATTATGATGTGACACCACTAACTAATCAAATTTTAGTTAAACTGAAATTTTAAGATGGAGAAAAGAAGAAACAATTATTGACTGGTGATTTGGGGCAACAGATCATTTGTTGACCTCATAACCAGTCAATATTTTTAATTTTTGTTCATTATTCTATCCCCCCCCCCACCTCACCCCGGTATGAATTATTTTCTGTGATTGGCCGAGAGCGCAATATGTAATATGAAACATTTCCACTGTTGCCGTGAGAGCTGTGCAACAAATCGTGTTAATATTGCTCAGTTGTCAGGTTCGTTACCATGCACGATTATTCGCAGCAGAACTTATGCAGCGCAATGAAAACATGCTTATTCATTGAGGATTACTTTAGAAACAATGTTGAAAATCTAGCCGGCAAATTTTATGCCGATTTAAGCAGGTTCCTTCGTTATACCTTTACTGTAATTTGTAAACGCGTGAATATACGATCCTTTTTGTTATCTGATATTCACTAATTCAGTGATAAATTTATAAAATTACTATGGCTTAATTATTTCACTTATAAGTATTATAATTATCTACAAAATGGGTCTATGAGCTTCATAACAATTTTACTATGTAGTAGTGACATGTATAAACGAATAGGCTTACAGGTTGAAATTGCATATATGTAGACAATGAAACATTGTTTAATTACAATAATAATAATACGAATAAATCTTAATGATTTATTACTGATTCATAAAATAAAACCCATAGTCTTCAATGACACGTTAACTTTAAATTTTACACGTAGGCTAAATATACTGTGTGACAATTTTTGGGCAACAGATTATTTGTTGCTTTCATAAACAATAAATAATTCTTTATTGTGTTTTATTTCAATATTTAATTTTATTATATTAATAAAAAGTTCAATGATCTGGTTATTTCAAAAGAAAGCCTCTTGTGTTATAAAACCTAGTTTTGTTTATTTTACGCTGTAGACACTACAGTTGAATCTACTATATAATGCTAGTAATGGTTTTTCTGAAAAATCAGCTTTTTAGCTTATTTCCATCTTTTTTTCTCAAATACATTTCCAAATTGTTTGAAATTATCATGGAACAGAGATCTTGTTTTCTGTTGTTTTTTTTTTCCAGTACAACAATTATAAAATTAGTATTTTTCTGTGTGTTAGATGGAATTAATGTACGATTTACTAGTGAGTTCAGTTAAAGTTCCTTACCATTTATGGATATCCTTATAAATAAAAGTAATGACTGATAGTAGAATGTCGACCTTAAAGGACTGCTTCTATCTCTTTTTCTATAGAGTAGAATGACATTTCTGCTTTTATACTGAGGCCTTTGTTGACCTGAAGGTCTGCATATAAGCCAAAATGTTGCCCCACTATAAAAACATGCAGAAACACCTCATTAAAACCAAAACTTGCTATGTCTACACTGAGTAAGATATTATTGAAACAAGTATGTATGAGGGATGATTCCTGTAAATTGACAAATTAACATATAGAGTTTAGAATTTATAGTAGCCATCCTAAATATGTAAAAATACATATTCCTACTTGTGTTATGCAAAGATTATAGTATCTCATTCAGAATTAGAAAACCTAAATTGAAGGAATTAAAAGAGGTTTTCATTAACTGTCATTACAAAAAACGTGTCATTGATCGATGATTTAACACTGGTGAAATACAAAGTAAAAAATTTTATGTCTCTTGCCCCATCCATATTCGACCTAGGTACTTGGGTCAATATTACATTCAACAACAAATAGGCCATGTTATTGGGAATAATTTAAAGGATGGCTTTCCAAAATGTAAAATCGTTTGGGTTAAAATACAACCTCTGAATTTGTATAGATCATTAAAGATTAAGCAATATTATATAGAAAAAAATACTTAATGTGCAACAATGAATTCCTCCAACCAGGAAAATGAACTTCAGGATTTACAGGAAAATAATTGTTTAAGATAAAGGACTTTTGCAGTTGTAATTCTAAAGATGTTATTTGGAATTTAAAAAGTAGAGTTTTTGGAAATTTATGTTGGAGAAATGGCTCATCTCCATTGATATCATATCCAAAATCCTGATGATTATCCCCTCCCTTTCAGAAAAATGTTTTTACCTATCATTTGAATTGTTTTAATTACCTTAAAAATTTTTTTATTCTTTTAAATTTTAGAATTCTAAAAGTAGGAGTAAAATTTTATTTTTAAAAAAATATTTTTTGGCACTTTTGTTTTTTAATCTTTAAATTCCAGTTGAAATCAGTTGGAGGTAAAGTTTTTTTTGTTTTTTTTTCAAAGGTATGAAAGTTGAAAGGTTAAAGTCATTTGACATATTCTGGTATCATGTATATGTTAAAGTGAACAATTTTTTTAAGTATACATTTTTATGTAAGGGTTGCACTAAATTTCACAAGGTTTTTAGACTTTTATACTTTATGTTGTTTTTAAAGTGATACAAGTTTTTGTTTCTAAATGTATTTAATAATTATTTTACATTGTAATAGTTTTAAATGTTTTTCAAATAGATTTTATGTCATATGTTGTTTTTCTGATTTTGTTTTGTGACGATCCTCTCCTAGTGCACTAAAGGTTCTTCCCATTTGGCCACTAGGTCATCTACAGTAGCCTTGACTAGTTCAATAAGGACTTGTAGTAAATTATCGGGAACTGTCTGTTAACATATAAAGATAAATTACAAAGAACAGTTCACTAACACTGGCCAAGTAACATTCACATTCTGAGCACGAAAACAGTCACATTACTGGACACACATTAGATTCATATGTTAACCCATATTAACACGGTTGCATTTGCAGCATAAGTGATTTCTCTAATTATGTAATAGGAACGTTAAGCCTCATTGTGAACTCTGTTTTAGATACTGCTAATTTTATGGCTTTATGTTATGTTTCATGGGATAATGACTGCTTTCTCTTGAGTGCATCACCCAGGACATCTTTACCCATTTAAACTTTGGCTGTCATGTATAATTGTAAAATAAAAAGTGATTGAATCAAGTAAATTTGTTTTATTTCAGTTGTCCTTTCAACATGGCATCCCGTGCTCAACCAGTGGTACATGATGGAAGGTGTGGCTTTATTATAGCCATCCGTACAGAATAAATGCTTTCATATAAGACTTTGGAGATGTGAGATGCAGTTATGTCTTATGGGTGCTGTGTACCACGAGTGGCTTACAATGTCCAACAGAAAATATGCAAATGTACCACCGGTGGTGCACGATGTCGTGAATGTGTTAAACATTAATCTTAGCCACTGGTAGATTGTACCTTCAAAGTAATACTTGTATATATGTTACTGACTAAAAATGATAACTCTTTCCCTAACTTGGCAGTTGAGTATTTATACACCACAATTCAGCATAAGTTGGTGTCATTCTTTACAATAAATTACATAAGTCAGTATCACAATCCAGTCAACAGTGAACACCTTTTACATCCAAGATCACAGAAATGTTGATTTACATCATAGTTTAGGCTTAGACAAGATGATTGTACAGAAGATAAATAGTAAACTTGTAAGTTATTATTAATATAAGTGACTTGAGTGTAATGTTACAAGTGTGTAATGATATGATATTTCATTTAGTTATTAGGTCTCAACAGATGCCCATATCAGAAGGAAAAACTCATGCTAACTTGGTTCTTCACAATATATTTTACCACTGAAAAGTAATAAACTCACTGTAAAGTAGCCACTGAAGCTAAAAGACTGGTAAAAGTTTGAGAAAAGGAGCACAGTTTTAAACTTGAAGAGAAATTTCTAGTGTTAGTTTGTACGTATGTATTTATGATAAATAGGCTAATATTAGTTTTGATAAATACACTTTTTAAAGATATAAAAACCATAGCTTTACAGAATAATTTACATAAATATAAACATTTTTAACATGTAAAACCCAAAATAAGTTTACTAGGAGTCTAACTTGTCGGAATATCGGCCTGTGTTTACTTCATTATACAATTCGTACATGTAGCGGCCCTATTATCAGTACAAACTTAAATATACACCGAAACATAAAGAAAATTTCATTCTTAAAACTTACAGTGAATGTAATATTGTCATAATTTTTTCTGTACTCCATAGATGAGTAGTTATTTAAAGAAAAAACTTCCCGAAGCTGAAGCAGCAGGAGTAAAAGACCTTCCTGATCAAAGCAAAATTATGGAAGAAATTTTTCAACATGAAGACAGAGATAATGATGGTTTTATTTCGTATGATGAGTTCAGTGGCCCTAAACGCGATGAACTTTAAATATATTAATTTATTTTAATATTTAATCTGTAAAGTTTTTAGTTTCGTATTTTAGTACTGTACTTTGTGTGTTACAATTAATTTGTTTTTGTAAGCTTCTGCAGAAGAAACCATTCGTGATAAATGGGGTAAAGAACACAAGATAAGTGTGCGTTGAACTTGGCATATTGGGAATAGAAGATTATGCTGTTCTCAGTCCTGTTTCATATGTTGTAATATAGAAGGTCAACAACCTTGTTAAGGAAGTTCTGACTCAGTTCTTTACTAAGCCGAAGGTGTTTTTTTTTCATACCATTAGCAATATTAAACAAGTTTCCTTTCCTTGTATGATTGATAATATTAAAGATTATCTTTTTCCACATTAGAAAGAACAGAGAAGTAAAATTTTTATCAATGATAGTGGAGTTTTTAGCACCTGCCAAAGTAGAGGCTCTCGTCTCTACAATTATTGAGTCCTGTCATAGTATATTTGCCTCTGTGAAATGCAGGTACCATCCCTAATTCTGAACTGCTGACCTCATGAAAACAACTAGCTAACAGTAACAACTTTTACTTTATTTATTCAGTATTTACTATTATGTATCATTTTCATTTTTTTATTGTTACATCAAATACTTGACGTAAATAGGATAAAATACGCACTTTTAGTATAAAGGTGTGGAGACTACGGCTGCTAATCTTCACTCGGTACTAAAGCAAGAAGGTCTGCAAGGTAGTACAAAATATCATATTGATCAAATGAACATCTGGACAAAAGGGTTTCTTCTGTCAGCTAAATTAGAGGTTGTTTCACTCGGAATGTGTTGAACAAGCACTGTCTCAATAACGATCTCCATTCTTAATGGTAAAGACTTTCTTTGTTTTTTTAAACCAGGTACACTTTACATAAAGAATTAAGCTAATGGTAGCTAATCATCACTACTGTTTGTATTCAAGTACTGGCATCATTATGCAAAATATAGCACATATAAAGGAATTAATAATGTATATATATACACACACTATTATTTTCAACCTAGCCAGAGATGGGAACACCAGTGGCATTCCTTGTAATGATTCAAAACTAAAAGGATAAAAGTTTCTCAGTGCTGTAATTACACTATTCCTAACTAATTAATTATACAAGGTCTGTTCACAGACACACACAAATAATGTGTGATGTATATTTACATAAATTTGTCTTTTTTTATTTTTTTGCTATTAAGGAATTAACAAGTTTTAGCATTGAACAAAAGACTGTTTATGTTTTTTTTCAAAATTGATAAAATGAAAAGTAAGACTAAGACAATCCCTCAAGCTTACTAAACTTCTTTATTGTATGATACCCCCAGCAAATTCCTGCTGTGATAAATTTCTTCTGTAAAAAAAATTTACATTTGAGTTTTTTTAATTTACCTACTAAATCTTTTTATGATGAGTAAATCTGACATTAATGGCATTTTATGAAACTATAAACATAAATAGCCTTATTGACATTATACACATTTCATATTTAGGTGAAAAGTATTTGGCAGTTTTGAAACTAGTCATTTGCCTTAGACTTTCTTGGAATTCAACAAACTAAATTTTCCAGAACTTCTGGAAATGGGATAACAAATGTCTTGATCACATCTGATAAAAGTAAGCAAACCTGCATTGAAATGTCAGGTTCCAGCAAACCTGCATTGAAATGTCAGGTTCCAGCAAACCTGCATTAAATGTCAGGTTCTAGCAAACCTGCATTGAAATGTCAGGTTCTAGCAAACCTGCACGTTTTGTTCTATTTCAGTACCCTATAAGCAGTGAAAAGAGGAACAGTCATAGACTTAGTGTAAATGTTGTGTAGAAGTGAACAATAGAAATGTGTATGTAATGGTATTGTAGGTTTTCCTTAACATCACCTGTATGGTAAAAAAACACTTTCTAAGGTAGCAATTTCTGTTTTATTTTTAGTTATCCTTTTCTTTACCGCTTATGTATCTTACCTTTTTATCATTTGATTGGGCTATTTCTTTATTTACGTCAAATGCTGGCTCACCTGCATCCCAGTTTAAGCATTAAATATCAAAGAAGCCATTTTTATATTATG